GTGTGTGTGTGTGTGTGTGTGTGTGTGTGTGTGTGCACGTCCTTGTGTGCCGATGCGTGTGCACGTCCTTGTGTGTTTGTGTGCATGTCAAAAGGTGGAAATATACTTGGTACAGGGAGCAGCAGCAGAGTAAGGAGGGAATGAGGGGATTGTGTCATGGTCTGTCATGTTCTTTGTTATAATCTTGTGGTGGATTATGGTGGGTTTTAAGTTTTATGTGTACACGCTAACTGCATTCGATTCGGTGTCAGATTAGTGCAAATGAGGACGGTGCTTGTCCAAAAATCGGGTGTGGTTCTTACCCTGTAAGTAGTGTGTCGAGCTATGCATCATGTTCTGCTGATTTAATTTATAATCTCTGGACGGCTCTAAATGTGTGGATTGTGACAGAATGGAATGTGGGTGGATTTTCAGGTATAAATGGGGCGATGACGATACCTGGCCTGTGTTCGCGGTCTATACTACTCTCTAGTAGCAGCGGGAAATGTGGGCTACCGTCTTCCCCTGAACACAACTTACCCTCATTTTGACTGTTTCGAACTGGAAAGGTAGCTTCTATACGTTTATTACCAGGGTGCGTTATGTGTGGGGGAAGACAGTAGTACTCGTGATATAATCGGGTCATACTGGTCTAAATGTGGTACAGATAAAGGTCACCTTCTGGATGTTGTGACGCTTGATGACCTCTGCGGGTCTTATGAATCCATGACCCCTTTTTTATAGTTTAACCTTTTTTTGATAGTGAAGGTATGTTTAACCCCCAGTCTTATGAAGTTCTGAAATATCGAAGCGATTATCTGATCTCCGAAGCTGTACTGAAATCGTATTAATACGGTATTATGTAGTAGCCTGGTAGGGCTGAAAGGTACGCATTTAGAACTGATTAAAGTATTCGGAAACGCGGTCGAGTGCTGTTTGAAACCGTATTGTTGATGTTTAACCCCTTTTTGAAAGTGAAGGTATGCGATTTATGAATCTCGATTTCAATCTGACAACAATGAGCTGCACATTTCCTTCGGCCTACCTTCTTCACCCAAAGACAACGTATGGTCACTACTGCTGTATTTAGATGCCAAGATACACCGAATACGGATATAAATTCATATAATGCCCTGTATGTTGTATTCGGGTGAAGAAGGTAGTTTGTGCGGTAACTGCCATTTCGCTTTGGGGACCTCAATCATGATGAGACACATGCATCATCACGGACACATCGATCATCACAAATATGTGTTAGGCTTTACTATAACAGAGAATAAGTCTTCTGAAATAGCGCCGTACTGCATACCGCCATCACTCTTCTGCTTAGTCCTGCTCAAGTCGTGTAGTGAAGTAAATTGTGTCCTCATATGCACTCCACTCTCTCCCCCGTTTCTACGTGCAGTCCTCCGAAGTGAGAGAGTTCGGTGAAAACGTTTGTGGATTCCAAGTTCAAACCATTCATGCAAGGACAGGCCGTGCGGGTAATTGTGCACGTATGGCGCACGAGCGCAAGGGATCTGCACGGCGCACTGGGAAAATAGGCACCCAGAAAGGAGAAAAAAGGGGTCGCAGGCGTGGATCAGTGGTCACCTGCACCCCCCTTCAGAACTTTGTTGTAGCATGAAATTAAAAAAAAAAACAAGTTGGGAGAGTAATGTTGGGACCTAACGGTCCAAAACTGATGTCCCAGAGAGACCTATTTGAGGCTATTTCTGATGCTCAATAGGACAAAAAAAGTTTGCACTGCCGTACTTGAAGAGGATCTCGTCCTTAGGTAGTACACTCTTCTGCATTTACGAAAACAGCGAAAGAAATGATAATAATAAGAAGAAATTGTTGCCGATGGGGAGCACGGGCAGGTTGTGTGCGTTGTGCGGGCGCATCGCACTGCGGCACAGCGGTGCGGCTCGTTGGGTTGCAAGTATGATTCAAACAAGTTCGTTACCTTCTAAAGATGTCGCCAGGATTGTGGGAGTGTGGGGGTGCTAGGGAGAAAATAACGAGAGTGGGAGGGAGGAAGGGAGTCTCAGAAGGAATAGGGATCTATACAGACCATCTGGAAAACCAAATGACCGACCACCGAACGGGACTGTCGTATGTCTAGCATCCAACCTCTACAACAGCCTGAACTTCAAAAAAAAAAAAAAAAAAAAGGATCGATGTTGTGATGTATACTGGGAGCTGCTTATAATTGAATTTACAAAGTCGTCAACAGTTATGAATTGTAGGGTGAAGGAACAAAGTCCCGAGAAGTTCGCGAGAACTCCATTTTGATTATCGTACGAGCTCCAAATTCCAATAAAATTGTAATTTCAACTAATTTGTTTTGCAAACAATGCAACGTGTTTTCCTGGTCTGTCCTTTTAGTGGTCGTAATAATGTTATCGTCCCAATAATGTTTTCGCTGTTTGTTCTTTTTTTTTTTGCTGTTGCTGGTGATCGCAGTTTTTTCTTTCGACTGTGAAAACTCAGTGGCTGGACAACAAGCATGTGGTTTTCGGCCATGTTGTAGAAGGCTTGCATGTGGTTAAAGCAATAGAGTCGGTGGGAACACCAACGGTAAAATCTCACTATCCCTTGATTCCTGATCGAGTCTCCAAGACACAAATGCTCAAAAGGAATAATAATTTAAGGAATACAAATAATTTAATGAATAGAAAGAAGCGACCTTGCAACTTCGAACTCCAGAAAACTTCAAAATTTAGGACCAGTGCATGTTTGTGGGCGTAATTCCAGGTTCATGCACCGCACTGCATGTCCTCTTCTCATTATCATTTCACAACCTTTTCTTTTTAATCTCCCACTATCATTTCACATCTCAGTTCCAATCCTCCCAACCTTTTTTTTTTTTTTTTTTTTTTTAATCCCACTCGTAACTTTAAATGCCATTGATAGAGTATGTGGTCGATGGACCATCCCTCGTTGCAGGCATACGGCATTTTTCAGTTCTGTTCAGAGCTGCACTTGAAGTCCCAGTTCGTGTCCCACTCTCGGTGCCGCTGTCAATGGCTGTCTGATTCCCAGTCTTAGTCCATGCCACACTTCCAATTGTCTCCTTGTTGCACCCCCTCTCCTTGCTCATTTCGAATCCCTACTATCGTCTCATGAATAGAATGTACGGTCAGAATTGCTGTATCTAGACACAAATTTATGCCAAGTACGGCTATAATGACCATGTGTTCTACGGTCAGAATTGCTGTATCTAGACACANAAGTACGGCTATAATGACCATGTGTTCTACGGTCAGAATTGCTGTATCTAGACACAAATTTATGCCAAGTACGGCTATAATGACCATGTGTTCTATGGTGGAGAAGACAGTAGAGCTTCATTCTGGGGTCCATTTGGTGGTCTATTGACTCCGTTCTGTGGGAGAAGACATAGTCACGTTAATCACTGCCCGGTTAGCATTTGCACAAAGGGGGGTCCATATGTGGCATGAATGCTAAAATCACGCGTGATGTCAGAGCAGTGACTGTGGATTTTGGACGAGGTGCAGTTCTGCGGCATTCAAGGGTCCGATCATTGCCAGCAGACCTGTCCTCTTCTTGCAATGCTTTCTTACCAGTTCTTTGCACAGGGTTCGTTGTGAACCCATGAGGTATGAGTTGAAATTAAGCAATCTCTCTCTCTCTCTCTCTCTCTCTCTCTCTCTCTCTCTCTCTCTCCCCCCCCTCTCTCTCTCTCTCTCTCTCTCTCTCTCTCTCTCTCTCTCTCTCTCTCTCTCTCTCTCTCTCTCTCTCTCTCTCTCTCTCTCTCTCAGATGCATGCATGACTGCAAAGCACATGCGCACGTGAGGGCCTTCACACACACACACGCACACAGATGCATGCATATGACCGCAAACTCGTTGAGTTAAGAGTTTGGGCAATCATGCCATATCACCATGGGATCAATGATAGTGAGTGAGGATAGCTAGATCTTCTAGCGGTTTGTACAGTGAAACTTGGCGAATATGATAATCGAATGTAGTATGGAAGTATCAGCTGAGCATAGGCATTATACCAGAGGTTGAAGCAAATACATGTGCCTGTGATGATGGGCGTAAAAGATGGGCAGGAAAAGATATGGGGCAAGATTGCACATACAAGTCACTTTCGAAAGCTTATTGCATTTCATAATATTGCCTGTTCTAACCGGAATTGCAATTGCAATTCAGTCCATGGAGAATGATTGGTAAAACGATTTTGAAAAGGAGCGATGGATCGCTTTTGTAGAGGGATTAAGCTCTTTTTGTTATGCTGTCCGTCTATGGATGGCGATTTTGAAAATGAGAGATGGATTGCTTTTCTAGAGGAATGGAGATTTTTTTGTTATGCTGTCAGCCTATCGATTGTTGTGGAATGTGATCCTAATCGCATTATGATGTTATTAAGAGCTTATAGCAGTTTTGCGATCATGCAAATGTGGGTGATTTCCTACGATTATTTGGCTTTTGTGATTTGTTATCGCCGGCTGGAAACTGCACAGTTGAACAATTTGGTGCAAGCAGGTTTTCTAATCATCCATTAAAAAAATATGAATGATACAGTGAAGATTAGCATGGCCCCTGCGTAAGGATGACACGCCTAAATCAGAGAAATGGTCCTAATTGGCCAAAAAAAGAAGAAGAATAACTTTATTTTTTGCCATATCTGCCACTGGATGCTTAAAGGGTTGGTGTAGGGCAGGTGTTTGGGACATCCGTCGAAACTGGAATGATACAGAGAATATTGGCATGACTCCCGTGCAAGTGTGTCACGATAATCAGTAGAGGGTCAAATTAAAAAAAAAAAAAAAAAAAGGGGGGGGGGGGGGGGGGGGGGGCGGGGGGGGAGAGGGGGGTTTTGCTCGCTGTTCTCATTGTTCCATTTGCTGCTGTCCTTATGTCTTGTTCGCTGCTTTGGTTGTACAGGGCAAGACAAGAAGAGCCGTTGTAATTTCGAATTGTGGACAAATTTTTTAAATGGACGAGTTAACAGGAAACCCTGCATATGTGAGGGATGCTTTAGGATAGGTGAGGAGATTGAAGAACAACAGGTGTTGTTGTCTCGACGGATAAGCATGTAATGTGGTTCAGCCTCTGCAGCGCATCATTTCTTGTCTATCAGAGAAGCAGTGCAGGCTTGCCTTAACTAGGTCTAGAGTTCGCGTCATCCATGCAGTGTTCCTTGCAGTGGGTTGGTGTCAGAGTTGGCCATCCATCGGAGTTACGAGAAGAGGGCAGGTGGTCTTTGCCGGTGCACCAATATAGCAGCTAAGCCCCCTTCTGTCAGCATCGAGCCCCTCCTTTATCACTCAACCACCCTGCACTTATTTTTCCACATCTGTTGCATGCAATTGTGCCTGCATGTGGGTGTGCGTGTGTGTGACGGTGAGTGTGCATGCCTGTGCATGTGTCTGTGTGCACGTGAGAGTGTGCTCTGTGTGTGTGTGTGTGTGTGTGTGTGTGTGTGTGTGTGTGTGTGTGTGTGTATGTGTGTGCACGAGTGTTTGTGTGTGTTCGTGTGTGTGCATGAGTGCATGCGCGTGTGTTTGTGTGTGTTCGTGTGCGTTCGTGTGTGTGCACGTGTGCATGCGCGTGTGTTTGTGTGTGTGCGGTTTTGTCATTATCCCCCGGACAAGTCCGGTTATACTATAGGCGCCCGTTGAACAGATGTTTAATTCGTTGCCAGATCCATGAGTTTCATTTTTGTTCGAGTTCTTCAACACGACTCTCAGGTCACCCAATTTGGTGAGCTAAACATGTTTGTGTTTCTCTGCAGCCTTTTCATTTTCCTCTCGTGTGTCCTTTTCTGCCTACATCCGAAGGTGATTTCCTGAGCATGATAAGGTCTGGTGTTCCCTTTTCTCTTGCTTCCAAATAGGACTTGCTGAGCGTGATGAGGTCTAGTAGCATACTTGCTTCTTCCAGTATAGTTGGGGAAATCTGGGCCTATTGCAGACCATTGTTGGTCCGATCGTCACATAAGAAAGCCGTTCCTCGATCAGTGCATTCCCTCCCGTGAACATGGAAGTGCAGCTAGCGAACTGTGAATTGCAGCGCCCTCTCTCTCTCTCTCTCTCTCTCTCTCTCTCTCTCTCTCTCTCTCTCTCTCTCTCTCTCTCTCTCTCTCTCTCTCTCTCACTCGCTCGCTCTCTCTATCTATCTATCTATCTATCTGTATCTCTGTGTGTGTGTGGTCTTTTTGTGGATGACATGCCGATGAGTTGTGCTCTACCCCTGGATTGCTTTCTGTGTTGCATCTTGTCATTAAACAGTAATAAACACCATGAATACCCCCATCTCAAGGGATTCTTGCAGTTGAGAAGCCAGAACAATTTCAACTAAGTGGCAAAGGGGTTATTGCAGTTGATAGGAAAATCGAAAAGAAGGCTGACTTTGGTTGTCTTCCAGTCATGGCCTGACATCATCAAATTGCTGCTGGGGAGGGGGGAATTAGAACATACATTGGAAAGCTGTGCTAAGCTCATCACACACTGCATCTGATAGATGATAGGTTGTGCTGCTGAAGTCTGTAGAACTATTGCACAATGAGGTGGTAGAACCGAGAAGGTTTATCAAAGCACAGAAGAAAGGGTATTGCAGAGGCCGTGGGTATCATAGTTGGAGAACTGCTTGTCTACATCTACATCTACATCTACAATACTACAAGAATTGCTAACGTCATATCTACCGGACCAGGTTGCAGCTCGGTCACCCCCCGCGGACGGCCCAGATCGCAGGCCGATGATAAAAACTTTTCTCATCGGCCTGCGATCTGGGCCGTCCGCAGGTGGTGACTGGCCCGCAATCTGGGCCGTGCAATACCCGGTTCGGCCCTTCTGAACATGCGCCCGCACCCAGCCCTGAAATCGCCCTTCGAAGGGGCGGGCTTCTCAATTGTCTCGGCCGCTACGGCAGGCGACAGCACACGACGGCACACGACGTGCTCATCTCTCTCTCTCTCTCTCTCTCTCTCTCTCTCTCTCTCTCTCTCTCTCTCTCTCTCTCTCTCTCTCTCTCTCTC